TCAGCCTCAGCCTCAGCCTCAGCCTCAGCCTCAGCCTCAGCCTGCCTCAGCCTCAGCCTCAGCCTGCCTCAGCCTCAGCCTCAGCCTGCTCAGCCTCAGCCTCAGCTTTCAGCCTCGGCTTCAGCCTCAGCCTCAGTCTGCCTTCAGTCTCGGCCTCAGCCTCAGCCTGCCTCAGCCTCAGCCTGCATCAGCCTCAGCCTCAGCCTCAGCCTGCCTCAGCATCAGCCTGCGTCAGCCTCAGTCTCAGCCTGCCTCAGCCTCAGCCTCAGCCTGCATCAGCCTCAGCCTCAGTGTGCCTTCAGCCTCGGCTTCAGCCTCAGCCTGCCTCAGCCTCAGCCTGCGTCAGCCTCAGCATCAGCCTGCCTCAGCATTCAAAATGTGGACCGGGAATGGACTTCTAGGAACTCGAAGAACACGAAGTGGCCTACAGTTGGCTCCGGGCATTCAAAATCATGCCCAGGAATGGAGTTCTGGGAGCTCGAAGACCACGAAGAGGCCTACAGTTGGCTCCGGGCATTCAAAATGTGTCCCGGGAATGGAGTTCTGGGAACTCGAAGACCACGAAATGGCCTACAGTTGGCTCCGGGCATTCAGAATGTGGCCCGGGAGTGGAGTTCTGGGACCTCGAAGACCACGAAATGTGTAACTGTTTGCTTAAAACGCCTTCCGCGGTTTCTCCCCGGATCCTGCCCGAACCCCTCTGGGGAGTCAAAATGCTCTCTTTTGACCCCGCTAGAATCCTATCAGTCTTCGCTGTTAAGTAAAAATGCGAGGACGTCTCGGGCGGGAGCGGGGGTCCTGGCTAAATTGTGAGGAAGTCTCAGGCGGGAGCCGTTGTTGTTGTAACCCGGGGGCCAGGGGGCCAGTTTGAGCAGGAAGTCTTTCCTTGTCAAAAAACAAAGTGCGAGCCCCGGGGGGGCACTTCAATTGAAAAAAACAATGTGCACCGGTGGGGGGGATCAACAATGACTATTCTTTAAGAATGAGAGTTTAACAACAACAACAGCAACAACAACAACAGCAACAACAACAGTAATTTTAAGACTGTTCGCCCTTATATGCTCGAGTGTCCAAGAACGCGTATTTCCCAAACCCTCCATACCCGCCATCTTCGTCTTCGATCGAACCCTTTTTGGGGGGTATACCTTTCTTCCCTGCAGGCCGGGCCCCGGCAAGCGGCGGGGCGGCCGCGGACCGTCGGCCTGGCCAGTGGCAGCGCTGATCGGCGGGGCGGCCGCGGACCGTCGACCCGACCCCAAGAGGGACGGACAGGGGACCGACCACGACGACGACGACGACGACGACGACGACGACGACGACGACGACGACGACGACGACGTCGAAGACGACGGCGACGACGAGCGAAAGCGAGAGCGAGAGAGAACGACAGCAGGGCCACGAAGGGCACGAAGTAGGCCACGAAGGGCGACAGCGGGGACACGAAGGGAATGCGTATGGGGCCACGAAGAGCGCGAACGAGCGGGGGCCACGAAGTGCAGATAATGCGGGGCCACAGAAGGCAACTATGGGGCCACTGAGGGTAGCAACTGGGCCACGTAGGACAGTGAGGGGGACACAAATGGCGACAGCGGGGCCACGAAGGGCATGCACATGGGGCCACAACGGGCGCGACTCCTGGGTGCCTGGGTGTCGGGAGCGCGGCGCTTAGGCAAATTGCAAGAAATTCCAACGCAAGGCCATTCTTCAGTAAGTTGCCAGCAAGTCTCTAGCGAAAGCGCGACTCCAGAGCGCCGGGAGAGCGATTCATTAATAAATAATAAGGAAGTCCCAAGCGAGAGCGCGATTCTTGAATAAAATGCGAGGACGTCTCGGGCGGGAGCGGGGGTCCTGGCTAAATTGTGAGGAAGTCTCAGGCGGGAGCCGTTGTTGTTGTAACCCGGGGGCCAGGGGGCCAGTTTGAGCAGGAAGTCTTTCCTTGTCAAAAAACAAAGTGCGAGCCCCGGGGGGGCACTTCAATTGAAAAAAACAATGTGCACCGGTGGGGGGGATCAACAATGACTATTCTTTAAGAATGAGAGTTTAACAACAACAACAGCAACAACAACAACAGCAACAACAACAGTAATTTTAAGACTGTTCGCCCTTATATGCTCGAGTGTCCAAGAACGCGTATTTCCCAAACCCTCCATACCCGCCATCTTCGTCTTCGATCGAACCCTTTTTGGGGGGTATACCTTTCTTCCCTGCAGGCCGGGCCCCGGCAAGCGGCGGGGCGGCCGCGGACCGTCGGCCTGGCCAGTGGCAGCGCTGATCGGCGGGGCGGCCGCGGACCGTCGACCCGACCCCAAGCGGGGGTCCTGGCTAAATTGTGAGGAAGTCTCAGGCGGGAGCCGTTGTTGTTGTAACCCGGGAGCCAGGGTGCCAGTTTGAGCAGGAAGACTTTCCCTGTCAAAAAAAGAGTGCGAGCGTCGAGGGGCACACTTTGATTGAGAAAAAGCAGTAAGCACCGGTGGGGGGCATCAACAATAATTATTCTTCA